GTTTGGGGTTTTTTTTTTTTTAGAAAGAAAAAATTAAAAAAAAAAAAAAAAAAAAAAAGTCATGATCCACTGGTCCTACCTTTGTTTGTGTATTGTACCATTCACAGAGCACGCTTAAGGAGCAGTGCACGCTCCTGTGAACTGGAGTATCGCTCTGCTGCAACGCCGCCGCCTCAATCTCCTCCTCCTCCTCATCATCAGCAGCAGCCACCAATGTGTCCATCAACCTCTCCAAGACCCTCTTCATCAGGTGCTTCAAAGCTGAAACAGGAGCACATACACCGCACTGAAACCTTGTATTTCAGACTTAAACCAGAGTTCAACCCCTCTGCAATTACACAGAATGCCATCATGCATCAGCCCTGACTAGACCTCACTTAAGTAAACATTGTGTGTTTTGCTTTTTTGTTGGTAAATATAGCACTTAGGAATGACGAAATGTTAATTTGAAACATTGCCAGTACAGTCAATAAATGGTTATAATGGTGAAAGTTTGACCCTATAATTTATGTATTTATTTACTTGGGGGGAATCTTGTTTCCAAATCTAATCAACAAGCTTTGCATAAATGTGGAGTGTGGTTGATTGAAATTCCGCTGTATTATTTATTTTATTTCAACTTTCTCCATGTTGTGAATTAACTTACCTGCACATTCTTTGGCCTGGACAGAGACCACGTGAGGAGTGACAGACTGCTGGAGCAGCTCAGATAGGCTTTGGAAAGTCATGTCATGGTCTGGCACATTCACTCCTAGTGAAGATATGGGGAGATGACAAAAAAAAGGAAAATTCAATTTACATTCTTCTGTATAGTTTTTGTTGCACACTACACAGAGAACCTGCTCACGCACATTCAGGCATGCATGTGAAGAGATGTGAGAGTGACGGTGCATGCTGCACTTCTTTGGCTCGTTTTGGTTCGTTGCTCCAGCGCACTTCAACATTCGCCACAAAGTAGACTAGTATCTCTAACATCTATTTTTTGTTATTTTTGTCAACAGAGGGATGTGAACTGTAACCCAACTGTTACAAAGCCCAGGTTCTTACTACTGTCCCAAATACATCCAAAGATCACCTTTCGCATTCATCATCAACATTATCATCATCATACCAAGCATTAGCGCTGCAGTGGGAATCTCGCTGGCCCTCATCTGAGAGGCCCAGTTGCTGTGTTGGCGAGTGATGGAGCATTTCCTGGTGAAGTCCAGCAAGCTGTCCAGGACTTTCTTGTTGAGTTCATCCTGCAAAATCTGAGAGTAAACACGTTACACATTTGATACAAAGTTTTCTGCTGTTATCATTTGTCGTAATATTCGACTCTAAAATTGATTCAATGTCATTTTATGAAATGAGTATGGGGAAGTATGGGAACGTCGTAACCCATGGGTCAATTCAGGTTCTCAGTTCTGGCCCTCCTGTGTTTGTGCATGTTCTACCCCTTATTGCATAGGTTTTCTTATGCTTCGATAATGGTACACACAGCTAGCTGCCTTTCATACAGACAACTAGGATTCGATTCCTGGGCACCGTTGAGGTGGATTGCGTCATCTGGAGTAAAAACTATGCCAAACAGTGAGTGACAAGCCTAAAATCACTGATACTCTGGCTCCCAAAACCATGCATGTTAATGTAATGGAATAGTCAAAATTGTCCATAGGTCTGAATTTGAATGATTTTTCATCAATCACTATAGATAATGGATGGATTCCCAACCTTATTATAAAACATTACTCTAGTGATGTGCTTTTTTTGCTGTCACCAGAGGTTGTTTGGAAAATAGCATACCATTCAGGCTACTGGAACTGGGGAGCCTACATCTCTCATGTGTAAACATGCAATAGATTTTAAGGACAAACGTCATCTCTCGACAACCCTTTGTCAATGTGTCAACCATTCAACGTGTACCATTGTATGAAATACCTCTATATCCGTTTTTGTCTTATTCCATAAATCATGGAAGAGTCTGAACCGTATGTCACTGGTCTCCGCGCCTTTGCAGCCATGAGTGAAATGGTCGTCTGTGGGCGAGGGGAATACAATTTAAGACACAAAAGCGATAACTACAACTGCTGAAGCTTAATAATGGCAACGGAAGTCTCATTTTACCTAAACTGAGGGAGCTTGTTTTCTTCTTCTTGGTGTTTGGCTTGAAAACAAAACAACCCTAGAACGTGGAGTTAGTGTCAGAAAGTACGCAGACAAAAAAGAAATACTAAAATTCCAGTAAATATTACCGTTGATACTGAAGACGTGGACATTTTTTAAACAGCCCATCAAACGGTGAAATTGTGACAGTCCTTTCACCGGTTCGTTGATTGCGGTATTTCGTTGAAGTCCTCCAGTGAAAAGCAAAAAATTAAAATCCCCCCCGCTCCCCGTGAAAAGTCTGCTACTTCCCGCCATGATGACGTTGACGGAAAAGGTGTGTTCAAGACTCCAAATCTTTCCCATCAGCGTCACACACACGCACGCAAACACAAAACGCTAAATCATAGCTTTTTTTTCTTTTGGGCAGTAACAACTAAATCAGACATTGGAAATGAACGATAAATGCAAGCCACACCCAACTCTTTTAATTACTCACTTTAATTTACTAACATTTGCGATCTTGAACATACCTCCACGCAGTTGCCACTGAGCGAACTCTTAAAAAACACGTCCTCTAAGTGTTGTTTCCTTTTAATTAATGAGCCAAGACATCTTTTACATTTGAAAAATGTCTCAAAAATTGGATACGTACTGATGATTGTCTCGTCCAATTTTAATCATAAATTTGTACCCTCGGTCATGAGTTCTTCATCACGAAGACATTAAAAATATAAAGAAGCAATGGCGTGACTTCGTGTGATTGATGAACGCTTCAAAGCGTGTGGGGAGAGAGAGAGAGAGAGAGAGAGAGAGAGAGAGAGAGAGAGAGAGAGAGAGAGAGAGAGAGAGAAACACAGTACTGTATTACCGTAATCAGTACTGTGTGAATACGAGTGGGGCCAAAGAGCACATATTGTTGTCAAGAAATTCTGTGACTTGATTTCTCCCTTCAAATATTGTGCCCGTCACTGTGCTCTCGCTCTACTTGAATCCGATGTTCTCAAAATGTAAACAGACAACTTTTATTGCTCAGGAGACTGCCCCTACATTAACAGCATTGGTTAATTCCAACATCCATTCTTTTGTCCCTGCAATAGTTAATACACCTGTTTGTAAAAGCTATATCACACGCTCCAGTTAATGTGATGTATTTACTTTCATTTCCAAACAGAACATTTTGTCGAGTGGTTGAATGTTATGCAATTGATTCATTCAATCTAAATTAAATCTGGGTTTCAGAATTTTCTCATTCCTGATCAAAGTGATAAATTCTGAAGTGAGTTCCCTTAAATGCTCCATGATGTTGGCTAGTCTGAAACAACATTGGGGGTGGTTGCTGTCAAATTTGTGAAGCGCTTGTATGAACTTGTGAAACATTACTGCAAAGCATATCTAAGGTTATTATGCATGTTGTATGGCTGCTGCATTTATTCTTTTTACTGTACAAGAATGCCCCCGAAATATGAAATCAATGTTGTTGTATTCTTGCCGTGTGTTTAATTTTAACCATTTCATGAAAGTGTTCTTTTTGTTTTAATCGTGATAAATTTTTGTGAAACTAATTTGTCATGCATTTGTACAGCAAGACACTAACTACACACTGTCTGTGCAAGGAACCCTTATTGACAATACGCCCCTCACACCTTAAAGTACACAGACAATATTTTACAAAAAGAACAGTAACATTTTATTGAACACTTTGTGGAAGACATGTAAATATTACAGATAGGTCTACTAGTGTTGAAAAAGGATGAAATAAATACAAACGAAACATTAAATCCCATAGGGATATATAAAAACATTTTTTTCTTTAAAAGTATCCATTTAGCAAAAAAACATCTTCAGTACTAAGCATAAATACAAACATGAATCTAAAATCTATGCCCTAGGGATTACCTGGTTATTAGGACTAACATACATAATTAAAATCATCCAAGACATTTAATTTCATGGTGTATAAAATAGGCCATTTTCTCATTAACCGTGACCATTACTGTTAACAGTTGGAAATTTGATGCATTGTCAAACCATTCTGCAGCATACTTCTCAAATCCTGAGTGAGACGGAGTTGGAAATAAAACATGGGGGGCTATGATCCGCTGTAAAGCCACTTTTTTATCATGACCAAGGGCTTCATGTCTTGCAGCTGCTTCAGCAAAAGATCAGCACCGTTTGAAAACGTTTTATCCATGACTATCTTCACATTGCTCACCGATTTGAGATTATGTGGATTTCTAAAGTCTACAAGTTTCTCACAACCTCCAAAGTGATCACTGGTTTTAGTTCTCAAAGCAGTCCTTTGTTTATGGGTTTGTCGTCTTTTGGATGGCAGCTCTGCAGTAGGCTTATCGCTCAGTTTGCGTTTGGTGGGGTGGGTCGACTCGGCGGTTTCCAAGAACTTAAGGAAAGAGTCCTCCAGCCCCAAAGGTTTGAAAGACCCTGCCATGGCGTTAACGTCCTCTTGCTGCTCTTGGGCTACGGGGGTACCAGGATTTGAGTTCTCTCTTGAGCCGCTAACAGTCATACGAGTGCGAAGGGTTTGTATCCTCTCGGGACAAGCTGGTGTTGGATTGACAGGTTTTCGGGGACGCCCTCTTTTAACGCCGCCTTCCGTCCCAGTTGAGGCTTGTGACTCGAGGCTTTCGTCGTTAGAAAGCTTGCTGTCCTCTTGGCTTATTCTTTCCACCAACTCCTCTGCGTTTTGTTCAGTGGATTTGTCGCCCTCCTCTGGCTCGGACTCCTCAGAGGATGCGCACGATGCGCCGTCTGATTTGTCGGCGTCTTTGAATCTGTACTTTTTGCAGAAAATGAACTGGCTCCTCTGGTCTTCGATGTATCTCTCTGTGAGGCCATGAGTCACGTAATGCTTAAAAATACTTCTTTCTGCTTCCTCAATTGTGTCGCAGCCTATTAGCATGCATGGGTACTGCAATGGCCACTTCTTCGTGCACATGGCTGTGGCTTCATCGTGGGTTTTAAGTGTAGGCTTCCCAAAATTGGTCCAGTGTTCAATGGTCTTTCCTTCTTTTTTCTTGACATTTTTCTTCTTCAATTTGAATTTGTTTTCCACGTTTTCCTTTCCATTGTTCATCCCCGTGAACAGCCCTATAGATCTATTCCTTCTTCCGTCAGTTGATTTTGGCTCATAAACATAGTCGTGCTTTTTTATCAGGTGGCGAAGAAGATTCGACTTGGTGGAGTAAAAGCGCTCGCAGCCCTCATACTCGCACTTAAAAGTGGTATCAACTGAGCCGCTCTCCGAGACGGCAATTTCTTTGTGGAAATTCTTGATGTGCTCGATGTACTTGTCCACCGAGTTAAAGGGCAGGGCGCACTCGGGCCGATCGCAGGTGAAAGTCCCGATGACCATGCTCGCCATCATTGAAGTGGCTTTGTCGCGTGTGAATTTGTGAAGCAAAAGGTAATGTTGCACTAGCCTTGTGACTCCCATGAACACACGAGAGCAGTTTTTCACTTGACACCTGACTTCGTGTCCTTTGCCCACAATCTCATAGCTCTCTTGACCGTTTGGTACGCTCATCATCTCGGGGCTGCTCTCTGCTTTGCTTGGAGGCAGGGATGCCTGATGCATGGCCCGGTAATGGAGGATCAAATTGTGCTGGATGGTAAATGCAGCAGTGCAACCTTCATGAACACAGCGATATGGTCTGTACGGACTGAAGGCGTTGTCGGCGTCACACATTTTAAGCCCCATTCTTTTTTGAAGCTTTTTGTGGACTTCATCGAGGTTGGGAGTGTTTTTGGAGCTGCTTGCTTTTTCTGGGGAAGATGAAGCAGAACCAGGAGGAAGGCTGAACTTCGGTTCCCTTATTTTGCTGACTGTGTGATGCTCTTTTGCTTTCGTGAGACCACATTTCTCTGTTAAACCAAATTTGTGTTGGCCATCTGGACATGTAGCCGCCAGCGTCAGCTGCTCTTGGGACTTTTCAGGATCAGCCTGCATGTCCTCAACCAATGGCCTGTTATCTAAATAGGTTTGCACCGGTGGCAAACAGGTGACAGTTGATGTTGCATGTGGGAAGCCGTCGTCGATGAGATTTCCTGGTGAAGCAAGGTGAGGGGCTTCTGAATTGGTTGCACTGTCAGGTTGAGGTACAATTTCAATATCAAGGGGCTCCTGTTTGATATAGGGAAATCCAACTGTGGACTTTGCGACGCCACTTGTGTCGGGGTCAGCCTCACTCGTGTGCGAAAGGTTCAATCGGACTACTTGCTGTCTATTTCGAGCACTTATCTTATACTTCAGTGCTTCTGCCTTTGACAATCGGTGGACCTTCTCATAGTGGATTCTCAAGCCTGTCGTTCTTGTAAAGGTTTTGGCGCAAATCTGGCAAGTGTACGGAGACAGTTTGGATGGACATCGTTTCAGTTCTTCAATCATCTCATTAGAGTAATCGTGCATTTTATTCAAATGTCTGAATAATGCCTCCTTTGTCATGAATGAGTAATCGCAATCTTCTCTGACACATTTAAAAGGTTTCGCTGATTTTGCTAAAACCTTGTCATCTTTCTTGCTTGGTGTGGGTTTGCTTTTTTTAAGTTCAGAGGTCGTATCGCAATGGGTGAGACTTTGCTCTAAGGACAAATTACCCCGCATCTTCTCTTGGGCAGCTTCAATCAAATCCAACCTTTGAAAGGCATTGGAGATTTCCATCAAGTGATCTTCTTGATGAGGTGGAGCGGTGACAGTGTAAGATAGCCCTGCTGCCTTCTCTTGCTGACTTTCGAGGGCGGCGGCAGAGACATTTGAAAAGTCGGTTATATTTGTATTTTGGGGTTCTTGTTTCAGCGCCGCGGAAGAGTTCAGAGGTGTAAAGCTACATGATTCCTGCGGGAAATCACCATTTGACAAGTTAAAAATGGCTCCATTAGTTTCCGGGACGTGTGGGTCATTGAGAAAATCAAGAAAGGATGTTGGCAGATCAGCAGTCAGGTCAATTTCATCTAACGGCCTGCACTGTGAGCGTTTAGACAGATGACCTCCGAGGGACTTTGTGCTTGTGAACTCTCTGAAGCACCTCCGACAAATCACCTTGCCATCCTTAATAATGGCTGGCCATTTGGTTCGCTTGCTTAGCTTGCCACGCTTTCCTTTTGGGCCGTCAGTGTCATCTTTTTCATCAGTAGCTTCACTTTCTGCATTAGTACAGTCTCCTTCAAAGTGAAAGACGGTCGGGGCGACACTGTGTGGGCTAAGCATGCCATCCACAGCATTGTCCATTTGTCCATATCCAGGGGCTGCTATGTTTTCTGTTTTAATTAATTTCCCCGCAGCTTTTGATGTTTCTTGGGCCTCTGGGCTCAGACATTTCATAGGAATATCAACTGGTGAACTCTGAGTCACCGAGTTATCACTCTGAGCATACGGAGTGTGGTAGCTTCCTTCAGGTAGACTGTGAATGGTCGACATGCTGTCCCCATTATCCGACTGTCCTGCCATGTTTCCACTGGTTTTCTTTCCCTCCACTGAAACTCCCCTGCCATCGGGGGGCATTAGTCCAAACTGATTCACGCCATTGTGCATTTGCCCTCCGTTGTCAAGCATCAATGAACTGGATAAATACTGGGACATCAAACTTGAATCCGATGCAACATGAGACCCAGCGGCTCCATGTAAAGCCGTCATCGAGTGCTCTCTTTCAGCTGGGAGGGAAGCTGTGGTTGGATACGGCTCGGGCTGCCACTGAAGATAGCTGCGGGAGGGGCACTCGTTCACATTGAAGGCATCTGGGTAGCAGCTGTTCAGTTGAGGTGAAGACCACGACTGGGACCCATCGGGCTGACTGATTTCCCCAGTATTGTTGGCGCTCCCCCAGGATGGGTACAGTGTGGGGTTCACCATCGGAGTGATGGGCACAGGGTCCATTGAGCTGGGATAAGACTGAGCAGGTGAGGTGGAACATCCCGCTGGGTAATCGATTTGCTCCATCCCGGGTTTGTTGCATAGGGGTCCGGACTGATTTGGTGGCTGATTTGGCGGGTTGTTGTTACCGTTGGGAAACTGTCTGCGCACAGCTACTCCAGCTGGTGCCTTTTTTGCTGTAATTCTGGCCACTTTGTTGTATTTCTTGGCCAACTTCCAGTCCTCAAAGATTTCAGGATGTTGCTTCTTCACGTGTCTCGACAAACTTTTGTTTGTACTGTAAGCCCTTGTGCACTCGTTTTGCGGGCAGCTATGCAAGTTTTCCTCGTTACTGGATACAGCAGGCATTCCTGGGGGATATCCCTGCAGTGAAGAAGGGATTTCTGTCTTGATTTGGTTCGAAGAAATCATTTGTGGTATCGCTTTCTGAAAATCATCAGCTTGTGTGTTATTTTGCCCTGCTGCGGGTTGACTTGTCATGACATTGGTTGCACTGGGGACAGGGTGCGGGAGAGTCTTCACTTGCTCTGCCATTGCCTGGTGTGCATGCTGAGCCTCCAGTGCCGCTTTCAAGGCAGCGGGCGCTGTGTTCGGGTTTGTTAGTGGAGTGTAGCATTTGTCTGGGTCTTTCAGTTCAATATGTGCCACAGAATTCAACATGTTTTCGATCGAATGTTTCACTCTAACGGGAATGAGCTCTTTCGCAACCTCTGGGGAACTGCATGGTGATGTGTTTGCCTTTGATGCTTCATTCACAAAAGCATCTGAATTACTCGTGTCGAGGCAAATGGCAGCAGGTTGCATGTCTGCTTGACATGGCATATTCTCCTGTGGCGGGTCAACTTTAGGAAAGACTGGAGCGCTCTCATCAATGACGACAACATTGTTGACTGCATTGTTGGTATTGTGGATCTGTTGGTGAGATAAGAACTGCCCCTGCGAGTAGAATGTTTTACCGCAGTCATCTGTCGAGCAGGTGTAAGTAAGGTAATGCTGAGCTTCGTGATCGTACAAAAGGTAGGCCTCGCTGAAAATCTGCCCGCAGTTTGGAAACATACACTGGGCCTTAAACTCTGAGTGTGTTTTCCGATGCATGAGAAGTTCCGAATTGGAATTAAAGTTGGCCTTGCAACCCAGTTGTATGCATATGTATGGTTTGCTGCCACAATGCATCTGCAAATGATCATTGAGATGTTGAACATTAACAAACTGCCGCCTGCAATACTGGCACACCACTTTTTGTTTCTGTATCTCCAAAAACCTCATGGCCTCTTCGTCGTCTTTGTGTGACCTGACATGAGCCATGAGGTTGCGGAAAAACTTGAACGCTTTGGAGCAATTTTTAACAGGACAGAAGCAATCTTGACTTATTTGTGTGACAGGTGTCATTTGCTCAACCTTCACTGGTTGGATACCAGTTTGGGAGTCATTACTCACAGGACTATTCAACGTTGTAGGAACACATTTCATACTTTTTGATGGACTTTTAGGAGACTGGGGTAGTTTTATCCCCTTTCTTACTGTTTTCATTGCTGCAAGCCGCTCTTTACAGGACTGCTTGACATGTGATGCCACATGTGGCTCTAAAACCTCTTTACTTTCAAAGCTGTCTGCACAAATAGGACATAGATACACTCCATCTTTAAAATGCTTCTGAGCGTGCCGAACTATTCTGTGACCCAAGAACTCCTTGTCACACAGAACACAATACTGCATGTAGGCTCGCCAGTTTCGAAAGCGAGCTGATACAAATCCTTGCTCCCGAAGTTTCTTTGCTTCTCTGTTTTTTTCTTTTTCGTCTGCGATTTCATTGAGTTCATTTGTAGTGGTTAACAGAAAGTCCTCCAGGTCTTTGTACTCCGGCAGTTTTCCCTGTGTACTTTCCACCTCTTGTTCGTCCGTGTCGTTGAGCGTGTCAATGGATGACACGATAGCTGCTTCCTCGCCCATCAGTGCCAAGCAATTGCATTTCAATGTTTTCCAGTCCCAGAACTCTGGATCAAAAGGCCACTGTGTCTTCAAGGCCAGCAGTAACTCACAGCGTAAGGAATTGGGCACCGGCAGACTCCCGTCCTCCTCGGGCTTTTGATCCGGTTCGTTGTACAGTGACTCAACGGCATAGTAGGAGTCAACAGTTGGTTGGAGGAGGAATTCAGTCAGCTGGCATGCACGCTTCACTTCAAGATCAGTCGGCAAGATGCAGGAAATAGTCTTGCAGATCGTAGATTTGCTATCCGTGTGGTCACTTGAGGTCATTTTCAGAGCTTGAATGCACATTTCCACACAAACTGGAAGCCCCACTTCTCCAACCTGCACATGACACAGAAAAAATGATTTGTAGAAGCTTGCTGAAGTGGATAACAAATACACTTGCTCTACTGGAGTTGTGTTTTTTTGTTACCTCATTCTGGATGACTTTGATAAGGAATAGAATGTGACAGACACTTCTGCAGAGGAGAGCCATCTCTTTGCTGTGGCTGAGGAAGGAGTCGGCGGAAGACTCCAAACGCATGAGTAGCTTACTCCAGAATAGCGTCAATTCCCTGCAAAAAGATGACGAAGAATGAAGTTGGCAAGCGAGACAATCGAATGGAAGGACAGAAATATACTGGTGTCCCCTAAATAAGCGCACAGAATGCTGCCAATGTGAGAAGTTCCGAGTTAACATTGAATGAACAATTCGTGATACTAATAGAAGATATCAACATTTGTTAGTGACATGGTGTTTGGACAGATTATTTCAGTTCCTCTGAAAAAAAGTCTCCCCAGACACCTCTAAAGTTACAAGTACTGCAGCAAGAGTTCTGAGGACATTTTTTTCAGGACAAACTTCCACACTTACCAGGCACAATAAACGTCTCCTTGAAGAAGTTGTCGCTTTAGAAAGGCGGAACATAAGCACTGTGCTCCTTTCTCATCTCCCTCAGACTCCAAGTTACAGATCATTTCCAGAGCATCTTTGCAGTCTATTGATGATATCTACAGAGGCCAAAGAAACAGCCATTACAGGTGGAATCAATCAGCAAAGGGCAGTCAGAACATGAGCAATTGTGCCTGTCAGGCACAGCACCACACCAGGGCTAGGAGGTGCTACAGCACCATCAGAAATCTGTGTAGTCCCCGTAAAGCCCACCCAGCATTGTATTTTCCATATTCAAGGAATTTTATTGATGTAATAAAGGCTACATGTTCTTTGGTAAAAGTTGGGTACAATTGTTTGCGATACTGTTCTGCCAGATCCAGTTGTTTCTACTGACTTTCAACAGCAAAGTTCATGGCCAATACATCAAACATGCAGAACAGGGTTTTCCATGAAATCATATAGAACAGTGGTTCTTAACCTTATTAGAGGTACCAAACCCATCCAGTTCATATGGACATTCATTGAACCCCATATTAGTGGAAACTATTTATTTATTTATTTATTTAACACATTCAAGACATTAAAAATGCATTTAATAACAGAAAGAGACCTATGTTGTTTTTTTTTTTATTGTCAACAAAATGAATCTCCATGCACCTTCAAAAAGTGTTCCTTCAGTTTTGCCGGTGCGAGACTACAGTTGCTCAACTTGGCATGACAAAGCATGCAGATAGGAGGCTGAGCCCCATCACGGACCGTGATGCATGTGAATCCATGTTGTACATATTCGTCCGACCACTTTCATTCTTTGCTCGACATGGTTAGCATGTTAGCACGACAGTCATATGTTGACTACTGAGCGAACTAAATTTCCCGCTGCGCTGATTGCACAAGCAATGTAATGTGATCATCTGCAGCCAGTGATGGCCAAACGGGCGTGTCATAACTTGACATCTTGAGTCGGTTGTGTCTTAACCTCCATGGCAGAGGCTCCATCAAACCCATGAGACCGATTCACCGGACCGCAACTGTTCGATCGAACCCAGGTTAAGAACCACAGATATAGACAGTCAAAAGTGTCCTGTTGACGGTGAAAATTGCAGACTAATTCATACACAAGATGGGAAATGAGATGCTTCTTACCTCTTCCATGAGCTGCTCCTGACTTTTGGTCATGCAAATACAGAGCAAGTAGGTTTGTTTGAAGTTCCATTTTCCTTCATATCCTGGGTACTCTGAGCACATCTTTGCAAGGGCGGCGGCTTTATCAACACTGTCCACTTTGATAAGGTGCTTTATGCGCATGCTGAGAAGAGTGGGGCCTTCCAACTCAAGATACTCGTGAACTAAAGAATAGGAAAGAAGAAAGAGGAAAGGTGAGATAGTGCATATGGAAGACATGAAAGCAACGTGCAATAAACTGTGTGTGAGAGCCAGAACCTTGCTCAGTTTGAGGGATGGTGTTGGACAAGATGCTGCTGAGTGTGGTGTTGGACCAGATGCCATCTTGCTGTGCCAGAGCAAAAAGTGGACGAAGCTGTGCACTCCCACTTTCTTGCAAAAGGCTGTGTGCCAACTGTAACAGAAGACAAATGAATATGTAGTCATTGACTAATTTATTTTTGCCTGCCCACACTTATTAACCAAATTAATATATCAATCCATATATATTGTCAGGTCCAGCTCAACTCAAACGTTTTGCCATTACTTCAGACTGGCCTATCGCCGCATAGATAAGCATCCAAGAAGCCCACTAACAGCTAAGGGGGATACTGACCTTCATGGAGGACCTAAACTCCTCCCATAAGGCACCAGGGATGTGCTGGGGCAATAAGAGAACCAGCTCCGCACAGCTCCTGCGAACCCAAACATTCGGCATTTCTTATGGCCACATTTAGTTGCAATCACAAATGACTGTTGCAAGGACACCCATTCATCGTTAATGATGAACAGGAAAGATGGACTTGTAACATGAATCTCTGTGTGTGTCTGAACAATTCAAAACACTGTTCTCTAATGACTATGTCATACATATAAATGATGAAATGGTTGCATGCTGTTTTTGTCCGTGTGTAGTTTGATTGTAGAGAATTAACAGACGCTTCAGTGGGTATGACTAATGAGCACCAGTATAACTGCTGTACCAAAAAAGATACATTCACAAAGACAATCGTTAACTATTTTGATTAACACTATCAGAAAGGTATCAATGTAATGTGTTTATTATTATGGTTGCATCAGTGTAAAATCTCAATATTTAGCCCATTGGGTGTAGCTAAAATAAGGTGTACAATAAAACTCACAGTGCACGTCTACATACTGGTGTGTGATTCTTAGCCATGGAGCTGCGTGCCAAAGTTGGGCCGCGAGCAGCACTTTGTGGGCCGCAAAATAATCGAAGGGATAGTTTACTTGTTTGGCAATTTCCAGCAGTAAAAAGTTAATATTGTGTCTATACTGTATTGGATAACATAATTATTTTTCATGTACAATTTTTAAAAAAACACTTTTTGCCACTTGCTGGCAACTGAACATGACATTGGATGTACTCAGGGCCAAACAATGACCAATCATGAGGCGTGACATAGAAACCAAACATCCAACGCTCCTAAGGAGGTTACATTTTTCAAAAGAAAACAAAATAGACAACAGCTACAAAAAATAAGCAATTCATGACAATGACAAGCATCTCTAAAAATGCTTTGAAAAGCGAGTGACCTCATAGCGTTCACCATGGTGAAAGAGCTGGTTCTACCTGCAACTGTGCCATACGTAAGACGATTAAAGAGAACGCAGCAAAGGAACTGCGAACTAACTATCCCGCTGTCAATAGACCACATCGCAAGCATGCCATCCAACATTTAAAAGCTTATGGCAAGAATAAAAAATTGAGAATTTTTCCCTTTGCAACTCGATGAAGCCAGCGCTGTCATAAATGCCACTGGGCCGTGTTTTTTTTTTTTTTTTGCAAGCACATCATGTCCTCTATCACAGTGAGGTGAGATGGCTCTCAAAAGGACTGGTACTTAATTGTTTGTTTTAACTAAGGAATGATGGCTTCTCTTTAAACAGTTTAATCTGTACGTGGATTCGAATTAATGATTAAATACAAGCAAATGAAGTCAATAGCCAACTATACGTCAACACAAATCAGAATGTCAGAAAGGGCCCCGGGACAATCTGTCCAGGAAACGTGGGCCCCAAGGTCAAAAAATTAAGAAGCCCTGGTTTAGATCACTGAAAACAACCAAAATAACAAACAAAATTGTGTACAATTTATCTTGTTTAAGCGATCAGCGTGAGTTTTGTCTTGACAAAAGAACTTGGAATAGAGCTCTTGGATCGGGTATTATCAACTTGTAACATGCAAGCTAGACCTGTGGCTAGTGAGTGTATGTTGACACCCATGAGGATCTGTTGTGTTTAAAAGTTAGTGTGCAAATGCAGTGCTACTTAGCATGTTACTCTCCCTGCCTGCAATTCCATGTGGATTTCGGTACATGTGTATTTATTTCTACGGCAAGGTTGCCGTCAAACACACTGCCATTTGTTACATGTACTCTGTGAATAATGAATCGCTGTCCAACGTATAAAGCAGAAGCGATGAATACTACAACCGGCCTCATAATTATTGTAGTTTCCGATGGTGTTCTAATATTTTGGTTATCTTATTTAGCTACAAAAGTGACGGATTCTGAAAGGAAACTCAAAGTCTTCCAGCAATTGACTGAATTCTTTGACAGTGTGTTAAGACTGAATGAAGACCGTTTCCAGGGCTCATACATACAATGTTAACTTTTCAAGTAGGAGTGGCACATTTTCACATTCGGAGGAGAGACAGGAGGCGGCATTGGCGAAGCTGAGGATAGCCACCGTGTAGACCTCCAGCAAAGGCAGTGGATCCTCGTCAGTTTTCCAACGGCCGGCATAATCCACCAGGGCCTGACAGGAAAAAACACAAGATAGTCAGTGTAAAGCTCATACAAGTTAGCCATTCCCAATGGGAAAGAATGTGCTAATATTGATTTCAATTGTTCCTCCTAATTTACATTGCTCTAAGATGACGAATCACTATTAATCAAATAGATGCCACTTGTTCCTTAACACCAACCTTCTATTTTCCTATCACACTTTTGGATGGACCACACTATGATCACTTGCACTGAAATACAATACAAGATCTCTATTAAATTATCTGCATTTACAAAAACAACCCAAAATGGTGAGATAAATTGTGGTTCTGTAAAATACTACACACATGCGGTCTTTTTGCGCCACAACAGTTGTTCAACAAATCAACCATGTTTTTCCTAGAATGTCAAAGAAAATTACAACAGGATCATTCAAGACAATAGAAAAATTAAAACCCTACGATGCTTGTATGACATTTTTCCATACATTTACGTTAAAACACTTGGTGTGCGCAAACAGTCGTGCCCCGTATTCACAAACGGGGTAAATTAAGTCTTTTATGTGGGTTTTATAATTAATGCACATTCAACTGTATTCTCATGTATACAATAACCGAACACTGGCCTTGAACAAATAAACAAAAAAAAAACTATCTTTTAGAAGAACAAGTAAAAATGCATGGTCAGAGACAACCTTTGGCAACTACCGATTGTGACTCTATGTTGACTATTTGTTGTTCATCAAACATCCTAATTTTTGGCTCTTTTTTTTTGCCGAACAGGATGATTTCAGATAATAAAACAAAAATAATACTCTTTTTGCAAATCTATTAGATCTAATTAAAATTGTTGTTATAAAACAGTTACAAATAGTCTATCGATCCTGCCATTATCTGAACCGCTTTATTTTCACGAGGGTCACACATAGACGAAAAAACATTTGCACTCACAATCACACCTTGGGACAATTTAGAGTGTTCAATCGATCTACCGTGGATGTTTTTGGAATATGGGAGGAAACCGGAGTACCTCGACAAAACCCAAGCAGTCGCAGGGAGAACATGCAAACTCCACGCAGGCAAACCGGAGCCCGGAATCGAACCCATGACCTACGTACTGTGAGGGAAACATGCTAACCAGTCTTCACCACGCTGTCCAATTACAAATTATAATGACCCCATCCGTCTATCCACCCATTTTCCTCATGAGGGTCGCGGGCGTGTTGGAGTCTATCCCAGCTATTTTCAGGCAGTAGCCAGCGCACATATAGACAAACAACCACTCACTCTCACAATCACACGTAGGGACAATTTAGAGTGTTTCACTAACATGTCATGCATGTTTTGGGAATGTGGGAGGAAACTGGAGTACCCGGAGAAAACCCACGCAGGCATGGGGAGAAAATGCAAACTCTACACAGGAAGGTCAGAGCCAGACTTGAACCCTGCACCTCTGCTAACCAGTCGACCACCGTGCCGCCTAGTTATGAACCATATTCATTAATTTTATTGTAGTTTGTGATTACTACTCCTATATGTGATGAGCAAAATAAATATTGAAGAGTAGTTTGAAATGAGTCTTCAGTAAATTTTATGTGAATAAAATAAATATGCAGCCACTGTTACACTTTAATATTCTAATGAGAACCAATATCGAAATTATGAACAGAATCACCAAAAATAGCCTTTAGCAAAACAATAATGCTACCTTTTATTTGACCCTGTCAGTGTCGTATCAACAGTATATTTATCATTGTGGTTACAGTTTGCTACTAATATTCAGTGTAATTTTTATGTAGTTTTTGTATTGGTTCAAGAGTTTAACGTTCAACTCCACATAGATATAAAAAAAGCATGAAGATACTAACGTAATTAAAAATAGACTTGAACATACAGAAATCATAGATTGAATGTGCTTTATAACCCATTTCTGAAACCAATGTTACAAAAAGACGTGCATCATCAACGTTACGTACGTTACAACTCATTTTATGATCATCAATGTCCACTCAAAAGTACCACGAGGCCTGAAAGATCCCTACACTTCATTTGGACGCTGAACGACTCTTTTATTCTCTTATTACTATTCGGTGTTTGGAAACACAACAGGCCGAGCTGCACTCGCCCTTTCACACAAAGAACTTTGTTGTAAGTTGCAGGAAATCCTCAAAGGCAACCCCATTTTTGTTGGTTACCTTGTAAATATTAGAGCTAAATAGAACGGCGGGGTTATCGAGCACACGAACAGACGATATTTTCGTGGTCGTGGCAAATAAATAAAAGAATAGCGGGAGAGTAATGGAGTCAATTGACCACAGCCGCACATTCGCTACAAAAAATATCCCCCCAGCTGCAGTCACATCTCTTGCTAACGTGGCTACTTTAAATGAGCATTTCATCAGATGTGATTAGCTGGGTTAAAAATGAGTGCATGGGGCCTAAGCTAACACCTTGGTAACAGATAATTGATTTTTCCTACCTCACAAAAGTAGCCCACTTCCCCCAAGCGATCAAAATCCTCACGCAGACGACAGTACGCGAGGGGCTGTGTTTATGACGGCTCGATTACACATCCGTTACAAATGTAATCAATTCATTCTGTGCACTTTTTTATTTTTTGCCAACAACATTCGCTAACCTAGCTATCATTTTTTTCCACAGCTTGATCACTGCACAGGACAGTGGGACCCTGCATACCAGCTAGCAGCATTGATCTCCTGCTAGCAGTCTGGCCTGGGAAAATGCGAGCAACACAAGCATAGTCCGCGCACATGAGCCCGACTTGCCGCCTCCCAAATTCTTGGGTCTTTATGCAGAATTATCAAGAAGAGTAAAACATAACCGGAGGACGGGCGAAAAAGCACGCAGGCCCCACACTCCTGTTGCCCATCTCGGGGCTAGCAGCGAGCTAACAGTGCGGCTAGCGCCTTTAGCTACATTGTTGTAAGCCAATGTAGACGGACATCCTCGGCCAGGAAGCCAGAGAAGGGGACGCAGAGCGAACAGAGCTAGCCGGGGAGGAGCGGGCGAACCTGGCAAAACTCCTGGCAGAAAATCAGCGAGGCTTCCAGCGGCGACTTCGTGCTCTCCCTCAGTGCCGCGGTCAAGCCGTGGAAGCGGCCGCGGAGATCGTCGTTCGCTTTCGGTGTGTCATATTCCCTCTCCGTCTCCCCCTCCGCCATCTTCACAACAATCACGACCGCGTACGCACGCACAGATGTTACGCTGCCAGAAAGGCACACGCACGTGCACGTAGGGTGGGGGAGGGAGGAGTGGGGATTGGAGGGGGGAAGGGGCCGGTGGTGGGTGGGTCTGAGTTGGTATCAATCCGTGGGGGTGGAGCGGGGGGTATCAAAAATATGCGCGTCTCACATATACACACACACACTGTAGAATGTAAACAAAGCGTCCACGACCTAAAGAGCAGAGGTGGCGGACCTCTTTCATTCACCACTCCCTCCTCCATTTAGGGGCGAAAAAATATGATGCAATGATTGTACAAATGTTTATTACGTATTAGGTGTGTCGAACTTCAAGAAAGCTGACTGATTATCTGTTGCATCATCAAAATAACACATTTACTATCTGCTTTTTTCTTTGAAAAAAAAAATCAGCAACATTTCTGCCTATTTTCTGACATGCTACGGAGCAATCCAGTAGCTGTTCATATTCGGTTTCTGCTCATTAATAATTTTTCATTAATTAATGAATGGTACAAACATTGGACTGGTTCCCTGTCAGTTGCAGGGCACACACTGTACAAACAACCGTTCACACTCAGATTCACATTCAAAAAGCATGCATGTTTGGTTCACCGAAGGCGCTTAATCACTGGTGCCAAACTGGTGCCAGATCTAGCCCGTAACATCATTTTATGTGGCCCGCAAAGGCAAATCATGTGTGTCGACTTCATGTTTCTTTCAAATTGTGTTTACTTTTAACAACACTGAGATATGAGATATTGCAAGATTTTTTTATTACCAATCGCGCCTTTAAAATACATTGAAAAACAGTTGAATGATTAACTGTCTTCTCATTTCAAAGCCAGTTATCTCTCATTTTTTTCACTATATGTGAAAATACAAGGCAATAATATATTTACATGTCTTATCACAACATATGATTAAACATAAGCTTGAGTTTGAGCAAATTTGTTTTTTCAGAAGTGTGTTTCAAACTGGTAGCGCTTTGCACTAATCACTCGTCAAAAAGTATCTCTCAGCTTCAACAAGATGGCTGACCCCAGAGTCTCGACTGTAGGTATTCTGTGAATGACTGAAAACCATTCCAGGGTGTATCCTGTCTCATTCCCAAAGTCAACTCACTCGTGACCCTTAATGGGGGCAAACAAATACATAGATGGATGGATCTTTTTTCCTTTTAGCATCTATTTTGTATTGCCTTGAATATTGGCCAGAGGAGTTTATTTCACCATTTGGTGTTTATTTTTTTAACAAAGTAAAATAAATGGTACTTACATGTAGCTTACATTCAGCCTGCATAACCATTTTGATACAAAAACTCTCTTTGTTTTTAATGTTGTTTCATTTATTTATTTTTTATCTGCCAAACAGAATCGCTACAAATAACACACTACTCACCAAACAATATTCATCAATGTCACATAAACACCAATGTTACGTACACACCACTGAAAACGAACAATTATGAGTTCACATTGTTTCGGTACATGCCACCTCATAGACGAAGGAGTATTGCACGAAATATGACTTGGCAGTACTACAGCATGCCTTCCTAAATATATAAAGCGTGTGCACACCGAAGACAAGACACACTGTTGCAGAACAACACTGGCCCACTCATCGCCATCTCCCATCAGTCAGATCTTGTGATAGATGCAGGTGTCACAGTAGCACTCTGTGTGGTTTCTCACCATTAAGTTTTGCACTTTTACCTGTGAACAAATAAACAGAAGTAAATTCCTTTTTTTTTTTACATTGTTACTGATGTGGTCACTGATGGTGTCTTGATACACTCGACTGACATTGTTGCAGGTAGTGTGGGATCAGTTCCCACTCAGTGACGTTAGGAGTGTGATCAGTTCTCTGTCTCTATATGTGCCCTGTCATTGCCTGGTGACCACTTAAGGGTTTACCTTCCCTGTCTCCAAAATCAACTGGTATAGGCTCCAGCTCCCTGCGACCTTCACAGCATTCGTGGCAAAGAAAATGAATGGATGGAATAATGTTGAGATTTCTTATTTGAATAAGAGTTTTAAAACGAAAACCACCATTTTTCAGGAAACCAAAAATACAGCATGATTATTTATCCATTAACATTGCATTGTCAAAGAGACCAAGCCATTTTGGATATTTGATTCTATATTGCCAGTGATTTGTTCCAAATAACATACCCTCATGGAGACTGACCAATGTGATTTATTTATTTATTTATTTATTTTTGCCAAATCTGGATGCTGGAGGTATCGGCCAGATGCCAGGGATAATTTGAGTCAATATTCTCAGGTCAGTCAGTGCCCTTGCTCGGTGTTCATGCCAGGGAAACTGTTGAACTGACTGATGTTCTTCTAAAACCAATTAATAATCCAATTGCAATGTACTTAGAGACAACTAATGTATGGGTGTTCTTTGTAAAACCTAACAAGTGAATTGAAATTTTAAATGCCAATGTAGAGCATGAGAGAGAGAGAGAGAGAGAGAGAGAGAGAGAGAGAGAGAGAGAGAGAGAGAGAGAGTCCATTCATCCATTTTTTTTTGCCCACTACTTGTCTGTGTGAGTGATGGTTTAAATGGAGCCTAACCCAGATGACCGTGGATCAGAGACGGGGTGCAACCTGGACTGGTGGCGACTCACTCGTAAGAATTGCCAATCATATGGACAATTTAGAGTCTTCAATTAACTTAGTATACATTCTTTGCAGACAAGAGTGCCCACAGAAAACCGATATCAAGGCCTGAGGTGAGATTCAAAACCAGAACCTCTCAACTGTCATGCAGATGTACTAATCGTGTGAGATATATTAATCCCTTATGATGTCTTTTCATTTCATACAGGGTAGCTATGAATTATTTTTAGGCTATTACAGTCATTACTGCAAACGTAATTATCAATACTGTATTTGTTTGGCCAAAAGGTTGGGTACTATTGAATCGAATGATATGAGGATTATAACACGTGTTTCTTTGTACACATATTTCAAAATTCACTACTCTGTCTTAAAACGTAATACTTTTCGCAGTACAAATTCGCAATTTCAGTTTCTTACCAATTCGCTGCTTCTCGCAGTACAGCATGCTGCCTCTGAAGTGATATTCTTTGGATTCATCATGAGCTTCTTGATCCAGTGAGGTGTCGGGTAAGCCATCGAGAAGCAGCAGCCCTTACACTGATAGACCGGCTTGTCCCGTGAGAAAAAGTCGTTTTTTTTCAGCGCGCACTCATTACATCCTACTGTATAGAAAAGGAATCAGAGTTGGAAAGTTTGTGGTTTACATTTTTGCAATGAATCCCAACACATAAAACACAATCTTTGTCACTTTTTGTTTGTTTGTTTGTTTTTTTTAATTTGGAAGAAGTAAGTTACAACTCACTGTGTGACAAGTCCAAGTCGGGATATGAATTGACCATGCAGAAAAGAGACGTCACGAAGAAAAGAAGTGGTCCAACAAATTTCACAGCTCCCATTATGGTTGCAGTGGCTGCCTAATTGCACAAAACGTGTTTAAAACAATTCAACAACATTTCCATACGATTTCGACTTTCTGTCCTGTTCAGGATTACTAGTGAGTGCAATCTATCCCATATACATATACACACTATCATTAAATTACCTTTCTCAGTGTTGAAGTTTTCTCTTTTGAATAGGTCTGCTGAGGTTGACTTTCCGGTAAAGACCTGTCCTTCTCAAGCTGTTTTATACCTATGTGCCTGTTTTCCATCACTTCCTGGATTAAGTGAAACCTGACAACCTTATCTATCATCTCCCTCACCATGCATGATGACCTCTGTAATAATCCCTTGAAAGCATAGAAACGTCAACCTCCTCCTTTCTTCCATGATGGTCATTGGAATTAATACCTTTGTTTCCTAGTTACCAATGGCCGTTTTTAATTGTTGTGTCACAACAAGAAGGAGATGAACTGAGTTGTATTATTTGCAATACTCAATTCAATTCAGTAGTATTCAGTTACATTCTACTCGAACAGCTTCAAAGCATTTGCAAATGACCAAGAGTCACTGCATGTCAAGCATTCGGCCAGTTGGTTTCATTCCATCCATTATCCGAACCACTTATCCTCACAAGGGTGGTAGGGGTGCTGGAGCCGATAATCCCAGCCATTTTTGGGCAGCAGGCGGGGTACACCCTGAACTGGTTGCCAGCCAATCGCAGCACACATATAGACGAACACCCATTCACATTCACTATCACAATTTAGAGTGTCCAATGAACCTACCGTGAACATTTTTGGAATGTGGGCGGAAACTGGAGTACCCGGAGAAAAACCACGCAGGCACGGGGAGAACATGCAAACTCCACACAGGAAGGCCGGGGCCTGGAATCGAACCCATGACTTTTGCACTGTGAAGCAGACGTACTAACCAGTCGACCAAGAAAATCCATAGCAGTACATGCAATACATTTGACACACGATGTAGTATTCTTTGGGTGACGAAGTATTCTTTTCCTTCGCCAGACTTTTTTCATCATTTTGGTACAAGTTCACCTTGTTTTTTTTACCTGGGAAACTTATATTTTCAAAGTTTTTGGGCAAATTTGGCTTGTTTTTTCTGAATTGTGACCAATTGTTTGTAACCTTGTTGTAAATTGTCTGTTTAGATTCTTGGAGTTAAGTGTCTCAAGTCTACAGTAATATATAAGCCTTCAGACAATTATTGACTAGGCCAGACAGTGTACTTTGATGTGTTTGTTTATTGGAACAATACAGTGGTTATTATTTTAACCTTTTTTTTTGTTTTATTGTTTTGTTCACCATAATATCCAGGACAGTACCTCGAGAATAACACATCAGTAACAACTATCTCTGAAGATGATGTCACATGGAATCAAGATAAGAACTCTAAGATGGTCCTCTCTTGCATTGCTTTTCATAAAGACAGATCAAATGTAAACAAACTTCATGCAGCTACTATATTTATGTTTATTCTTCATTACTCACAATTCAATCTTTTAATGTTTGCTCCAAAAACAACAAAACTATGATGTTGTGTTTATATTAGAACCCTTCGCAAGCAGTAATTTCTTACACACACACACACACACACACACACACACACACACACACACACACACACACACACACACACACACACACACACATTGTATGCTTCACTGTAATTCGACTTGAACTTGGAGCTGATTTTGTGGTCGCCTGTACCACTTTTCATGGTATTTTATGACTGCACATAGAGTGTTATTGTTTCAATCTGCAAATGTAAGTAAATCACCCGTCTGAAAATGTGACTCGCCTGTTGATTGAGCTGAGGGACAGCTACAGAAGATGGGAAATGGAACCAAGGAAAGGAATACCCTTCCATGGTCAAGTCAGTCTCATGATTTCAAGCCAATGTAACCTTGAAAATATATTGTGATGTCACGTCAGACCCTGAAATTTGATGCACTCTGCATAAAATGGCTGTAATTCGAAATCCAAATGGTACTAAATTCTGTGAAAAACCTTTAATATGAAAACAATCACGTCTACACTTCAATCACATCTTGATTCAAATCAATTGTGCCGGTGTATGAAAGCAAAAAAATAAAATAAAAACACTTGTCATTGTCCAAACACGTATAGAAGTGGCACTCTTCAGATATAAAATTAAAGCTGTAAAGATGGAAACAATGATTAGCAAATGATATCAGATGTGAAATTATTATGAATATCACATTTAAACACTCAAAATATATTGAAACTTCTGTACTGTGGCTGTTTTAGTTTCACAGTGCATGCATTTTGAACTGAGATTTCTCAATCATTTTTCTATAATTGTTGTGTTTTTGGTATTGTTTCGGTGCTTTGGTTCTTTAAAACATGGTGTATAGTAGGATGGAGGAACATGTTAATAAACAGAGCGAAACCCGATCGTCTTTGAGAGACCAAAATCTGTTCGCCCCCAGTATCTGAAATGTCAAGGATTAATATTAATTTATTTTGTTTCTTGCCACTAAAGTACCCTCTTCCCACACGCTTGGTTGTTCGGGTGATAAATCCCATGGCTTTTAATTCAATTAACGAGGAGGAGGGGGACTCATGTTGACACAAACTGATTTATTTGGTTTGAGTTTATGTATTGCAACATTTGGACACAGTTCTTTGGAACAGCACATCTTAGAATTTTGTGTCCGATTGCCGCACCTCTTAAAGACAAAGTGCTTATTTGCCATGTTTATTTTTAAAGGCAATGTTTACAAGAATGCATCCAATTTCTGATTCATGCTTTACCCTCGCATGCATTACATCTATGTTCCTGAGGCATGCTTTTTGTAGCTGTGCATGGAAGTTGTATGGGCTGTATCAATAAGAATGTTTGTACATCATGAATACATAAAGAAAAGTGACACGGAGAACCACCCGATTTTAGATTATTACAGAAGAGAGATTTTATGCATAAAAAGAATGACTTCTGGAGCATTCCTTTTTGTTCCCTCGGATGTAATTTTGTAATGGGATGTTGATTTTGCCATGCATGAAGGACAGAGTTCACACACTTTGAAGCAAAGAAAATGAAAAATGGCATGTTGGTTGTCAGCTTTCATTGTAAAATTCTAGCATGTTCATGAAGCAGTGCACTCGCCTGCCTGGACATTTGACACTGTGATTGTTCTGCAATGGTCAACGTGAGAGAGGAAAAAAAAAAGAAAGAAATAGCGAACAATCACTCACTTTCCTTTTTAAGGGAAAACAACCACATGCCCAAGTGGAACTATGCACCACCATATGGACGAAAAGGACGAGTGCAACCTAGCTTCATCTGCTCAAATAATTCAATTGCTTTCCTTGGCATTCAGCCATGTTCTTTTGTCCACGTTGATTTGCTTGAAAGCGATGAGAAGAGTGACACAGTGTGGAAGAAAGGGGAACCTACAGGCCCTACAGCCAACTGATACAATATGAAAATATCTAGGCGATATTTCAAATAAAGTATTGGATTATATTGTTTCCCCTATTAACCAAGGTAGGTAGCAAACCGTTAACTATCATCACCTACTCAGTTGAGTATATTTACTGTTGCTTATTTTGTAATTCGTTGGTATCGTTGGATGGTTGTGAAAGCAGATGCTCGGTCTAAGATAAAAGAATAAGCACATGAGTAGTGCAACAACCTCCTTGATGTTTGCCATAGTTGACCGTCTTGGTGTGTTGCCGGAGAGCCTCCCTCCCTGGTCTGGCAGTCTACTGTACAAACGCTTACAAGGCAGAGCCCGTGCACAACTCTGCAAGAAACCCCATCGACGAGACAAAACTCGAGGCGTGAACGTGGCAGCCATTTTACATCATCAAGAGTGAATGACTGAGGCCGGACCCGTGCCGGGAGTTTTCCACTTTTTCCGTCTTTCAAACGTAACCTTTATCTTCCAAATTACCCTACACCCTACACGGTGGTGATCCAGCGGCAGGTAGGGTGATTGCTACTCTTTGGTCGCGTTATCGTTGCTGGGGTTTGTGTGTGAAAAGTCCCACTCGTGCGCTGCTGTTTCAAACAATGTGGAAACTGGTGGTGGTTGGGAACGAGTTCTCCGGACCGGCTTTTTGAAAATGGACTCTTCCTATGTGGCGGCACGTTGGCAGAGCACGCACCTAGCAAGCTATATCCGTAGCTCACCATGCTTCTTACAATCCGGTTCAACTCGACTTCCATATTTTCCGAACTAGTGAAATCCGTGCCGACCATTGCCGTTCTAACAATGGCCTCACTGAAATTCCCTTCGAATTAGCATGCTAGCGCAAGCTAGCCTATTTTGACAGATCATGGAATTGACACGCTCATTGTCATCACAGGATAACTGAAGCTAACTGGCTATTGCTATTATCAATGCTATCGGCGATATTTGTACACCAATGAGTGTAGGAAACAGATTGTCATTTTAAGTATGAAATACAAATGTAATCGCTAAGGCTTCAAGCAAACGCGCTGTTATTGTCCAATAAACCAACGGCTAGTTGGATTAGCTTTAGCCCTGCAAACTAGCCCACTAGCTTGACCAACGTGCGCGAGGCACACGCGTAACAACTTCAGTACGCCCCGAACTAACCCGGTTGTTAGTTTGAGGCGTATGTTACGAATTTTAATTGCTCTTTGGAATTGATATCCTCAAAATCGACGCCGTAGATAGATGCATATTTCCTTTGAAAGCACGTGCTTACCGACACGACAGAATGAAAATCTCAAGGCAAATATTCGATGGTCCAATTTAGTATTGGTAGACGTTAAAATAATGAGGTTAATGTGATCTTAATCAAATAAAGTGCACCCACCAATTTGAATAAACTACGTTGCAGAGTGCTGCAATGTGAGCTGAGCGTTTGGCCTACCCAAGCTTAGATGGTCAGAAGAAGGTAAAGCCCCCAAAGATGTTTAAATATAGCACCCATGTAGTAGTAGTCATAGGGTGGCACGAAGCCTAATGCTAAAAGTCGCATTCTTTACATGTAAGTGGCAAACTTGAGCGCTCTGATGGAACACGTGTATCAGCTATCTAGTCTGTGCTGAAGTCAGCGCACAGAAGGTAAGCTAACGTGTAATTTGGAGACCAGCGCAGGCGAGGTTTCTGCACTTGAAGCACCAACTTAGTCTTAACAAGTAGACTTGGCAAAGCTTTGTCACGCTGAAATACAGCAGTGTTTTACAAGAGGTCATGGAATAGCTCTGGAGAACTGGGTGTGCGAGACTTAGCCTGTGTCCAATACCATGCAGGTTACATGATACAGTATATATATTTGGACAGTGATAATTTAGTGTATAGATGTCTGCAGACCACACAGCT